AACTAGTCAATAACCAGGAGTTCAAGAGTTAAAGAAATGATGTCCAGCAGAAAAGCTTTTAGTCTTTTCATCTCATTGAGAATTAAACCTGAGAGTATTAAACCTTGATGAATGAGGTGTGTGATGATTCAGTCTTTTGAGCCTGAACCTGTTAAGCTGTCGATCAGCTGTGTGTCTGTATCTGAAGCCTGTGACTGAGCCGCCTGTGTCCAGTCCTCTCTTTGTTGTCGATAATGAAAATCCCTCCAACAGGTCGCCCTGTTTGCCTGCCTTCAATTCTCCCTCTAATCCAATAAGGCGCAGGGCACGGCAGCTCCACGGCCGCTCGCCTGTGACGGACGAGCTTGGACGGCGAGATGTCAGTGAGATGTCAGTGAGATGTCAGTGAGATGTCAGTGAGATGTCAGTCAGATGTCAGTCAGATGTCAGTCAGATGTCAGTCAGATGTCTGTACGTGCGGCTCGGTGTGAACGACGGCTCGGATTGAATTAGGAGGCAGAAAAAGTGGAGCTGTGTGGTTGAGGCTGACACATGCAGATACTTGTTGATCGTCGCCCTAATGAACAGGACCGATCAGCCCTTCGGAGGAACACAAATCCTGTTAAGTCCATTTGAAACTGCACCCCCTCCTCCTCCTCCTCCTCCTCCGCGTTCATCCCTCGCCCACAACAAACCCCCGATGAGTCGCATGGATCTGAGCCGTCGATTCCAGCCAGATAATCCGTCTGGAATGCTGGTCTGGTTTAGAGGCTTTTAAACCAGCCTCTGTGCACTGAGTCAAGAAGAAATCTCCATCATATCAAATCACTTTTGTCTTTTACTGAAGAGAGAGAAATATTTGACCACAAACCAAAACTTGAAAAAACCCATGAAACCTATTAAAGTCAAACGTTTGCAGTGTGTGAATTCCCCTCGGAGCTGAGGGAGGGTTAGGGAGAGACGAGCCACACAGACGTGACCAGGTAGAAATATGTGGAATCATTATCTTATGGATCCACGTTTGTGGTGATACAGCTGGATTTTGCACTGGGCAGCTGATGGGTTTGTTGTTAAAACTTTGTCCTTGTCACAGTTTATTCTAACGTGTTAGTGTCTGTTGGTGAAGAGACAGCGAACAGAAGCGAGCAGAGGTCGGATGGGTCAGAGGTTAACCTCGTTAGGGCGTCAAGAACAGACCCAGACCTTTGAGAGAACCAGATCCCAGAGTCTTTAAACTGGATTTGACTCATTTACAAGGGTTCATAGTCTTAAAAGTGTCAGTTCACAAAAAAAAATCCTGAATAACATATTTCCCTGGATGCTCCGAGAGTTGTTTGGACATTGAGACAGTTTCAGTTTCTTTTCTTATCTGGGAATAGAAGTGTGTAAACAGAGGAGTCAGATAAACCAAGACAAGACAATCTCATATTTCAGAGTTCTGAGCCACACGGTCAACTTTCTATTCCCCTTCATTGGACTGGGACGGCAGGAGAAATCTCAGACATCTCCAAACCTTGGCACTCAGAACTACAACTGTCTGCACAGCTGAACACCACAAGGAGTTTAATTTTGTGTAAACTGACACTTTAAGATCCTTCAAATATTTTGAGCTCAGCGAGTGGAGGCACTTTGAAGTTTCTGTTTGCAGCACATGTGCAAACCCTGTTTATTCCAGAAAGGGCCGGAGGGGAAAGGTGTTGTGAAAGAGGGAGATCGGGATATATTAGGAGAGAGAGAGAAAGAGAGTGAGAGTGAGAGTAGAGTGTTTACTCTGCTAAAGACTTGTTTACTCTCCAATGGGAGGAGGACGGACGTCCCTGAGTTATTTGTGCTGAACAATGAGCAGCCTCAGACCCTGAGGGGATTGCTGATCCTAAAATCTACTTGCAGAAAATGCACCGCAAAGCACAACCTCCACCAGAACCGTCCGAAATAAGGATCTCATTAAGTCCACAGCAGCCGGCGGCACTGCCATGGCAACGAGAGTGGAAGCGAGAGAGGGCCAGAGACTGCATGATACAGAACTACTCACCACAGAGGGGTATTGATTTGACTGGTGGCCTATTTGTACAGTGTCGTAGTAGCACATTTACTTTAGTAAATGAGTTGAATACTTCCTCCACTGCTGACACTCACCCTCTGCACCGATAGACACCAGCTTCACTCCTTTCCCTGCGATGAAGTCGAGTGCTTTATTAACGTTGGAGATCTTGTGGACCCTCATCTTGCCTCTCTCTGGTTTGGCCAAGCGTTCGCCTAAAACAAGAAAACAGAACATTTTTAAATAGAGGATTAGGAGCACGTCTGCCACTTCCTCCACCACATTTAACGTGAATAACATTTACAAAAACGGTGACAGTGCCAAACAGATTGGATCAAGGTTATGTTATGGCTTTGCCAGAGCAACAGCTTTTCAACATCTTATCATATTTCTTGTTGGGGAATGTGGTTTTTCACTTTCTCTCAAAGACTTGGAGGTTGACAAATTGATTCCACCTTGCATTCAAGACATAAGAAGCTAGAAGCCAAGAGAAACGGCTGATTCTCTCCTAAAAACTGACGAGAAGAATGTGTTTCACTGTGACTTTAAGGAAACTGGACATTAGAGAGGTATTAATCTCATCTATCTCTCAGGAATACTCAGTTCCTAAATGTTGAACTCTTCCTGTGATCCTTGAAAATACCAACATGTGACGGTTCGGTCCATGCAAACTGTTTTCAGTGAGTGCATCCTGCTCAGCCAGGAGCCGTGTACCTGAGATGACCTCGAGCAGCAGCATGAGTTTCAGTCCATCCCGGAAGTCCTCCTCGATGTTCTCGATCTGCGTGCCTGCTTTCCTCAGGTGAGAGTTACACCAAGCTGTAAATGTCTACAGGGAAAAGGAAGAAAAAAAACTTCTGTCAATTTTCATATACTAATAATCTGCAGGAAAAACACTGCGTGCGTCTGTACTGCAGGGTATCAAACTTTCTCTTATATATTTACTATTTGTTAGCAATGGCAGAAGTCCAGTGCATTAAACCCAGCCAGGCTAACATAACCATATTAAAATATTTTTCTAACTGGAAGATGGAGGTCTTGTTGGAAACCAAATAAAGCATGTTGCAGCTGAACACCCCTCACCTCACCCTCCCCTTCCAAACATGAACAATAACCTGTGTTAGACTTTAATCGTCATAAAAACTCAAAAGGTGTTAAGTTTGTCCAGTCTGGACAAATGTAAAAAACATGGTGGCCTCCTTAGAGAGGGTCCCCTCCATGTAAATATAAAGTATTTGAATATAAAGTATTTAAATATAAA